TCCAAACCCTCTTTTCCTTATTGGTTAGAATCTTTGTAAAGTAATATTGATTCACTTTTCGAGCTAAATTAATCCAAGTCAATGTGCACTAGAGAAATTTGTGGTCCTACAGGCTACCACAGACCATAACCCTGATATCTTAGCTCTCTGAACTGGAATAATCCTCCCCACCAATAATAACACTTATGTGTATTTATTGAGTGTTTCATGTATCAGTTAGCTCCATTAATTCATTTCAATTTTACAATAGCCTTATGAAACAGACATTATTTATATTTTTCCAAAGTCACCAGAAAAGGTAAGTGACAGAATTAGTATTTGTGTCTAGGTACTCAGCCATGATGCTATAAGGCAACACTGAGTTCACAAAGTAAGTGCCCTTCTGCCATTTTCACCCTGGATTCCCTCGTGCTTAACATGGGGCCTATTTTTCAGGAGTTCTCAAGTAGCCCTTACATGAATGGATGAGCTTCCTTTGTGATTTGATATCTTGCAAATCTCTAGTCCAGCCTAAAACTATTTATACTAAGTGTGTGTAGAGTAAATGGTTTTCAGGCTTTTCTGTCCTCCCACCATTAGGATTGCCCTGCCTGATGGGGCACCTGCAGTTGTTACATTGTTGTAAGCTGTCTTATTTACCTCTGTGGGCCATGGGAGGAGTATTGAGACAGTCACCAAGAGAAGCAGAGGCAGGAAAGAAGTGGGAAAGAGAAGGGGAGAAAGAAAGCCAGAAGAGAGAGAGAGAAGCCCAGAGTAAAGACTTGCCAGGGCCTGGAAGGCCTCTTGGCCTTCTGGCCCCCTGGCACCCCTGCCTGCTGTGACCTGGTTGCTACAATACGTGTAAAGCTCAATAAAAGCCTGGGAAAGCCACCGAGGGCTCCTGGACTCCTCCTTTACCCAGTCTGCTCCCATCATAGAAAACCTGCTCAGTGCCATCCTGCCCCTATAATATGTTTGGAAGGCAATAAAAGAAAAAATTGCAACAGTTTTCAAAATAGTTTCATCAACTCGAAATCACAGTAGCCCTAAACTTGGTTGTCAGTCAGTCTGGGTTCACTTCCTGATCCTCCTTTCAACCAGCTGTGTGATCCTGGACAAGTTAACCTATTCTGCAACAAGTTAACCTATTCTGTATGCAATGCACACACACACACACACACAAATATTTTTTTTAGCTTTGACTGGCACATAATGTGAACATACTGTAAAATACAGATTAAACAGGCAAGAGAGAAAAGCCATTCCCACAGACTTGGAGTACGAGAGAGCAATCTCCCTCCTGAATGCAGGAATCTGCTGCCTGAAGGTAAAGCCAGCCCTTTCAAACCCACTGAAGACCCAGGAATCAGGTAAACAAGACTTAATAATAGCACCCAGCCTTTGCATCTCTGTAGTGCATTTTTTAGAAAAGAGAATAAATCCTACATTGCTGTCCTCTATCATCAGCATATCTTTAGGTCTTAACAACTTAGAACACCTCCTGTTAAGAATTTACATTCTTTTTTTTGACGTGTGTGCATTTTATTTTAATCTTTTATTTTTTACACCATTGTTCATTTTTAAACAATATGATTCAGTGACTCAGTGTTCCTGCCTACATAAACTAGAGTCAATCTTAGTTCATTGGAACAGCTCTTACAGATTAAAATCTGCTGGGTTTCTTCTACGTTTGAATGCTCACTTTGATCACTTAATAACCTCTTTACCTATCATTGGTACTTTATTTTCAGTAAACAATAATAAGTAATCAAGAAATGTTATCATTAGTATTACTTCGTAGCTGGTAAAATGAGCATTAGAAATTATAAATGACAGGTCTAGTGAACCCGGTTTAAGAAAAACACCAAGTGGGACTAGTCCTGCTATCAGGCCTGCCATAAATAAATATTCTGTCATTTGTTTTAAACTAATGATCTGATATCCTTTAACTACATAGCAAATATTCTGGCCAGCACAGGCCTCTGGTGAAATGGGAAATGGGAAGTGAAAGTTGGATGTGTTCTTGATATGCATCAGGTGGAATGAGTCTCGGGGGCCCAGAATCACGCCCTCATGAGTAGTGATGCTGCCCTCCACAGCCCACGGGCCCCCATCTGGAAATGAATGAGTCCCCTAAGGAAAGAAAATGCTGCTCTCTGGAGATGAGCAGAGAGGAGCATTTGGAAAATGCCTTGATGGGGAGCCAGCAGGGGCACCATCACTGGCCCTCTCCCTTGTGATGCTCCCTCAGAGCTCTGAAATCATTCTCAGGTACTGCATTCTCTCATGCGCTCTCTGACTTTATTAAAAGACAATACATGTGCTTTACAGAAGAGAAAAAAGATAAATAGAAAATAAATCTTACTAATTCTCACTAGCCAGATTAAAGTACTAATAAACATTTTAAATCCTTCCAAATACATTTTATTTTCTATGAAAATGTTCAACAATATATGAATAACAAAATATGAATAACGATGACATCTTTAATGAGGTATTTTGATAAGAAAAATCTTCAGCATGTATGAATATCATTTAAGGTATAGGTGTATATATATATATATATATATATATATAATAAACATACTAGAAACAATGAAACATCTGTTTTACTTCTGCTGGAAGGAGTAAAGGGAATGCTAAAAATATTTCATAAGAAGATAACCCAGAGGGCCTCCCCAGTGGCTCAGCGGGTTGAGCCCAGCACTGTGAAGCTGTCCACAGCCTCTGCAGCATGGGTTTGAACCCTGGCTGGCCAGGAGATACCCACATGTTGCAGCAGACCTCTCCTGTCTCGCCCACAGTGTTTTTGGTCCATCTGCCTATTCTGCTTCCTGCTCTGTCTCTGGTGAATTCTCTCACCCTCCCACACCTCTGGCCTGTACCCCAGTTCTTGTATAAATGAATCTTTTTTTAAAGAAAAAAAAGATAACCCAGAACTGAGCCAGTATCTAACCCATGCTAACTGTCTAATAAATATTTTTGATGAATAAAAATATAAGCATAAAATACATGGAAGCTTTTCCAAGTTAGAATAGCAGAACGAAGTATAAAAAGAGGCATAAAGTAGCTTGTCTTAAGAATCTATATGATTTAAATGTAGAGCAAATGTTTTTTGTGAAGAAGAGGAGAATGGTTAGGGGTAGTAGGATTTAAGAGATAGATACAGTGGTAATATTTTTAAAATTTTTATTGGGGTAACATTGCTTTTTAAATATATATACATATATATGTTTCAAGTGCACATTATCGTTCAAAATCTGTATATGATATATTGCAATCTCCACCAAAAGTCTAGTTTCCACCCACCATTGTACAACTGACCCGCCTTAACTGACTTGTCCACCCTCTAACCTCCCTTCCACTCTGGTGACCACATTGTGTTTCTTAAATCTAAAGATGTGTTTTTGTCATGCAATTTGCTGCAACATGGATGGCGCTGGAAGGGATCATGCTCAGCGAAATAAGCCAGAAAGAAAAAGAAAAATACCGGATGGTCTCACTCATAGCAGGAATCTAGAAAACTTAAATAAGGGACCAGGAAAATGAATAACTATAAGAAAGTAAAAATCAAAATCAACAAACAGCTATGAACCACAGACACTCTATGGATGGTGGGGTGCAGGGAGGAGAGGGATTGGGGTCAAAATAAGGGGATTGCAATTGTATGGGGAATATAAAAATAAAATTTATTTTTAAAAAATAAAAATAAATAAATAAATCTCAAAAAAAAAATAAAGATGTGTTTTTGTTTCATTTGTTCATTTGCTTTATTTCTTCCTGCCGTGAATGAGTGAAATTATGTGACATTAGTTTTGCTCAGTCTGATTTGTTCCACTTATTATAATCTTCTTAAGGTCCAACCATGTCATAAATGGCAAGATTATGTTTTTTTTATAGCTGTATAGTGTCCCATTGTGTGTGTGTACATATAACACAAGTGATATATGTATATATCACATTCTCTTTATCCATTTATTGGATCATTAACATCTAAGTTGCTTCCACATTTTACCTAGTGTGAACAGTGCTGCAATGAACAAGGGACTGTGACAATATCCTTGAGATCCTATTTCAGAACTTTTGGATAAATACATAAAAGTGATATTGCTGGATCATATAGTTATAACACTAAAAACAAAAGTAGCACAACAAAAAATAAAATGAGACTACATTAAATTTAAAAACTTCTGTAAAGCAAACAACCAACAGAGTATAAAGGCAACATATGGAAGAGAAGAAAATATTTGCAAACGGTGCATCTGTTAAGTGGTAAATCTCCATAAGATGAGGAGGCCCTGCAAATTAGTAGCAACAGAAATGTCAACCTTAATTTAAAATATGAGTTAAGAAGTTAAATAGACATTTCTCTAGAGAAGATAAGCATATGGCAACACATGCTCAGAATCACTGTATGAAAACATGAGTTATCACCTCACGCCTGTCAAAAAGGCAGTTACCAAGATAACAAAGGACAGAGGTGTTGGTGAGTATGTGGAGAAATTCAGACACTTGTACACTATGGTGGAAATGTAAAATAATGCATCCACTATGGAAAATAGCATAGATGCTCTTCAAAAGATTAAAAATAGAACTAAAAAAAATAAAATAAATAGAACTGCCTTTGTTATAATCTTGGGAAAATAATCCTTTACATATTATGGCAATATTAACATAGTAATTAATAGTTCCTTTGGATGCTTCATTTTAAACAAGGATGATAGAAACATACTGTGACCAAATAAGGGACTGGATATAAAGTTGTACATTAATGAATTTAAAAAGAGGAGAATTGAGCAAATATATTTTGCTAAATTATGACCAGTTTATTTTGTCAAAATCCAATATTTTGATTCTTAACTATGCCCAGTCTGTCATTAAACATTATGGCAGAAATACTAATAGTAGGTTAGTGCCCAAAAAGAAATGTTAAGTGTTTTCTCAAGCCGGTTCATGAAAACTCAAATGTGTGGAGTGACAATGAATATCTTCTTACTCTTGACCCCTTACAATCACCCTGCTTAAAACTTGGTTCTCAGTAGTAGTTTGCAAAGCCTCCGACGAATCTCCTTGGTTTTGATGGAATAGATGACAGGGTTGAGCATGGGAGGTACAAAGAGATAGATCAGGGACAAAAACGTATGCACGTACTCCGGGGCGTGCCTCCCGTAGCGAGCGGCCATGGACACCCCAACCATGGGCACGTAGAAGACGAGCACAGCACACATGTGTGACACACACGTGTTGAGTGTCTTTAATCGTTCCTCCTGAGAGGCAATAGCAAGTACAGAGCGCATAATGAGCACATAGGAAAGAAGAATAAGTGCAGAGTCCAGTCCAAAGGTAGAGATGACAATGAATAGACCAAAAATATTATTGACGGTGATGTCTCCACAGGGCAGGCGGATCAGATCTGGATGTAGGCAGTAAGCATGGGAGAGTATGTTGGGTTTGCAGAAGGGCAACCTCTTCAGAAGGAAAGGTAGGGGGAAGACTACACAGAAACTACGGATGATCACAGATAGGCCCATGCGGACCACACGGGAATCTGTGAGAACTGTGGCATATCGCAGGGGGTTACAGATGGCCACGTAGCGGTCAAAACTCATAGCCAGCAGGATCCCGGACTCCATGAAGGAGAAGAAATGGATAAAGAACATTTGAGCCATACAAGAATCAAAACTAATCTTCTTTAAATGGAAGCAATATGTGACCAGCACCGTGGGCAGCGTGGAAAAAGACACACCTAAGTCATTAATTGATAGTAGGGACAGAAAATAGTACATAGGCTGATGTAAGCTCTGCTCCTCCTTGACAATGAAAAGGATAAGGGCATTGCCCACAATGGAGACAGTGTAGAGGGGCCCAAGGAGCAGAAACATCCAGTGTTGGGAGGCCTCCAGCCCCGGGAGCCCCGTGAGGATGAAAGGAGGCATCCCTGAGCTGTTGTGCGGGTTACCACCCATGCTGCTTAGCCTTACTGCTCCTACTCCAGCCGCTGTCCTGTAAGGAAGACACACACAGTTTATCCATGGCCTACACCTCACATTTTAAGTCTGTTACATACCATTCAATGCCTGACTTTATAGAGCATTAGTAACTTGTTCACCAAATGACTCATCCTGTCTCTGTCACCAAGATTCTGGAATTGTGTGTTTTCTGCTTTCCCAACTGACTAAACAGGTCATAGCGTCTTCCCTTACCTGTGCCTATTGGTGTCATATCCATTTTCCCTCTCACGGTCTAATAATTATTTCCTTAATTCAACAAAGTGGGTATCACTTTGTTTAAAACCTAAGACAAAACTATTTTCTGGACTATTTTGCCCCCTTCCTAAGCGTTCCACTAATTGATACATAAACATCTCTTTCCCTTCTCTCATTTACCAACTTATTATTCCCAATTTGCTTTCTCAAATATAGTCTCTCAGCTCTTCCATCCATCTACCCTGCTTGATGGATGCCCAGATAACTATCATTAGAGACAACCTTCCACACACCTAATCAAGAAGCACTACATCCCTATATTTCCACTCATCTTTCCATTCTTCCTTCCATTTAAGTAATGTCATTACTTATTACCCTAAATAATTTATGAAAAATCTTTTTAATAATTTCTTTCAGAGATAAACACATGCAATTTGCAGCACCATGGATGGCGCTGGAAGGGATCATGCTCAGCGAAATAAGCCAGAAAGAAAAAGAAAAATACCGGATGGTCTCACTCATAGCAGGAATCTAGAAAACTTAAATAAGGGACCAGGAAAATGAATAACTATAAGAAAGTGAAAATCAAAATCAACAAAAACTATGAACCAGAGACACTTTTTGGGGGTGGGGGGCGGGAGGGGAGGGATTGGGGTCAGAATGGGGGGTTTGCAATTGTATGGGGGAATATAAAAATAAAATTTATTATTTAAAAAATAATAATAATAATTTCTTTCAGAACAGAATGGCCCCTGGCTCCTGAAAGTCACTGGATTTCATGATCATTTCTCTTGACCAAAGAACTGCTTCTCAAGTGTTTGTCATCTCTTTGAATAATACCATCATTATGTCCAAGATTGGTATATGTGCTGCCGAAGCGAGCACAATTATGTCCAAGATTGGGACGAGAAATCCAAACAGCACTTTGACACCTTCCATCCTTTACCTACTACTTTAAGCCAGGCAACAGTACGTGAAATTTCCAACCCCAAAGTGTCCTATTTGCACCTCTCATTTACTTCCATTTGTGTTTGCGTGCTTCAGACACAAGATTTGCATTTTTTACCACAATAACTGTCACCTAATAAATCTCATACTTCTTCCATTTCACTTTCTAATCTGATGCTAGACTAATATTTTTAAAAGACAAATATGGAAATGGCACTATTCTGATAAGAATATTATCAAAAGATCAAATCCAAATCCATTAGCCCAGAATAAAGGCCCTCTGTAGTCAGTACTAGATCAATAATCTGCCTTTCTTTCTCACACTTCAGGGGGTCTGTTCTGGTCTATTTGCTGTTATTCAGCCATAAACTATGATTTCTCAAGCTCTCAGAGGTTTCCCAGAATGTGTGAAAACACCCACTTAATCCGTCTTCAAATACATCAAATTGGTGATGCCCTTCACCTTGAATTCTTGGCTGGTCATAGCAAACAGGGGTAACTTCTCCCTTCTCCATTCTCCCCCCTCCTGTAACCACCACGACCACACCCACAGCTTCATGAAGTCTTTCTTTCTGATTCACCTGCTCCAAGAGTCACTCAGCCCTGATTCTTATTCACTGTTTCAGCTCCTTCAAGGTCCTGAACAGGAGATGCACTCAGTGCATCACTTATTCCTTCAAAGTTGCATCAATAGCTCTCTGTTGTAAATTGGAAATGCTAAAAGTCTAGCTCCTGAGGCTGTGATGATTCATAGTTTTGAACTATGGGGATAGTTGTGAAAACTCTTAAGAACAAAGTCATTTCACTCTGAGTTCTCAAGTGTGCTTTACACTCCACCTTCAGCCTTCTGGCTGCCTTTGTTTCTCCGTCTGCCTCAGAACACTTCTATACTTTCTCTTTGGGTTGAACTTTATATTTCAATTTATATTCTTGGAACCTGTAGTGTAAATGGTTTTCCCGCTTTTCTGCCCTCCATCAGGACTGCCATGCGGGATGGGGCACCTATACTTGTTACATTGTTGCAAGCTGTCCTATTTACTTCTGTGAGCCATGGGTGGGGGTACTGAGATAATCACCAAGAGAAGCAGAAGCAGAAGACAGTCAGGAGAGAGAAGGGGAGAAAAGGACTGAGAAGCCCAGAGTGAAGACTTGCTGGGGCCTGGAGGCCTGCTGGCCTCCTGGCCCCCCAGCACCCCTGCCTGCTCTGTACCTGCTTGCCACACTACATGGAAAGCTCAGTAAAAGCCTGAGAAAGCCACCAAGAGCTCCCAGACTCCTCCTTACCCGTCTGCCAGATCATAGACATCCTGCTCCGTGCCCTTCCCTCCACTACAGAACCCCATTATTTTCTGTAGCCCAAATCTGTTGCTAAACATTTTCATTTGCATCTCTATATAATATGCAGACACCCTGAAGTGGAGTCCGTTAGCTCCAAGTTGGGTCTTGCCATGAGATTTCAAAGGCAGCTGGTGACTTTTTATATATCTGGCTCTTAAAGGTTTTTCTGAGAAAACTGTGGGTTTCTTATTCACATCGAGGCATCTATAGCCAAATCATAATATAATAGACTATCCCTGATAACAAGGGTAACAATTATCCAAAGCTGATAGCATGGCAGGATTCAAAAGAAGGAGAGCAAAAAATTGAAAATACAGAATGAGGAAAGTGATAAAGAGGAAATTATGTAGGAAAAGAAAATCACACTCAGATTCAGGACAATGTTTTCTCCTTCAGATTGTCATATATAACACTCAGACTTTATAAATCACAGGCAAGTATACCTTAGGGCCCTAAGGCTGGGGAGCCCCAACTTACTTACATGAGAGAGCTCTATGTATGGAAGAAGCAGAGGAAGAAATAGCAGCAGTTGGGGCCTTGCATGTCCTGGCTGTTGCACCCCGTTACCACCACCAGCTCCCTGGCTTAAGTACCGTGAGACTGCATCCAGAAATTCTCTGAGCTCAGAAGCTCATGAACCCCTGGGAATATGAACCCCTGAGAATATGGAGCATTTACCTCTCTGTATTTCATCAATCATAGAGGTATGCAGCAGTAGAAACGGAACTGGACAGAACCCACAGACACATGGTTTCTAATCCCTCATATTATAATATAGGTCATGAGAATCTAGAAAAGAAATAAGACAAACTTTATCAGAAGATCCTGGCTGAAGGAACTGGTACCAGAAAAGAATTCCCATGGCATCTTGAAGGCAGCTAAGAGGAGATATTTATTTATTTATTTTTAATATTAACTTTTTTTATTTCTTTACATCATTGTTCATTTTTAAACAATGTTTGCTTCCCCCCAACCCCTCAGGTGTAGTCCCCATAGAGTTTCCTTCCCCAGTGCACCTGTGCACCTTCCCCTCAGAGGAGATATTTAAAGGGTAGGTCCAAAGGGAGCTTGGGGGATGGCAGAGTCTTAGTCACTCTGAGAGGCCCTGCACTGCCCAGGCATGTGCAGACAACCTCCATTCCAAGTCTGTGTGCAGGCTGCCCCTTCAGGAAATTAGGAAACAATCACAAGTCAGTATCCAATGCTTTTTGTCTAACATGATGCTTTGGGTCAGTCTGGTGAGCTGAGTTGTTTGGACAGTGTTGACAGCACTCACAAGTCCACAGTGTAGTCCGCCTGTTCCAACAGGGTTTGAGGCAACTCTCATTTTACCAGCTTGATACTTCTTTTCTCATTTCCCCCTGAGAGATTTTAGCTTCTTCATCTTAAAGGGATTTGGGGCAGATGGTCTCTTCCCTTGCTGCTTCCTGCTGCTTAGGGCTATTCCCCTTAGCCCTGTGTAGGGTAAATGGTTTGGTAAATCCAGTTTTCCTGCCCTCCCACCATTAGGATTGCCCTGCCTGATGGGGCACCTGCAGTTGTTACATTGTTGCAAGCTGTGTTATTTACTTGTATGGGCCATCACTGCAGTGTTGAGATATTGGGAAGAGAAGCAAAAGCAGGAGAAGAGGCAGGAGAGAGAAGGGGAGAAAAAAAAACAGAAAAGCCCAGAGTGAAGACTTGCCAGGGGCTGAGAGGGCTGTAGACCTTCCGGCCCCCCGGCACCCCTACCTGCTGTGTATCTGGTTGCTGTATACATGTAAAAGCTCAATAAAAGCCTGAGAAAGCCACCAAGGACTCCAGGACTCTGCTTTACCCATCTAGTCTGCTCGGATCATAGAGATCCTGCTCTGTCCCCATCCTGCCCCTGCACCCTGAAGGAGTGAAAATCTCTCAGTGCCTGTTTGAATAAGCAGTAATAGTGGCTGCCATCCTCGTAGAGGTGGCTGGAAACGGTGTATCAACATCATCTCAGGTTAGACCCATTCAACATAGAAGATAAAAACTTTGTCAAGAATTTATGAAAAAAGTTAATTTAAAAAAACTTTGTGGGCCTCCCCTGGTGGCGCAGGTGGTTGAGCTCCGCGCTGTGAAGCTGTTTGCAGCCTCTGCAGTGCGGGTTCCATCCCGGCCAGCCAGCGAGGGTCCCACATGGCGCAGCAGACCTCTCCTGTCTCGCCTGCTGCTCCCCTCAGCAGTGTATTTCGTCAGTCTGCCTCTTCTGTTCCTCCCTCTGTCTCTGGTGAATCCTCTCACCCTCCTGCGCATCTGGCCTGTACCCGGTTCTTGTATAAATAAATAAATCTTTTTTAAAAAAAAATGCAACCTATGAAGCTACCCGCAGCCACTGCACAATGAGTTCGATCCCTAGCCAGGGAGAAACCCACATGGCACAGCAGACCTCTCCTGTCATGCCCGGTGCTCCCCTCAGCAGCGTATTTCAGTCAGTCTGCCTGTTCCCCACCCTGTCTCTT